TGTTCATAATTCACTCAATTATTTGTGTTTCGTTGGGTCAATTGATCAAAATGATAATTAAAAAAAATTTGATCAAATACAAAAACATAAATATTCACGCAAAATGTTTTCTAAGGTACCCATACGATGAGAGCCAGAGGCGAAGCTACATGTATATGCCCCCCTCACTTGAGAAAAATGACATGTTTGAGAGCATAAATTTTTATATTTTATAATTTGCACTTTTTACTTATTATACTTTACACCTTCTTATTTTCATATTTTAAACTTTAAACTCATTTCAATATTAATTTTTTAGCCTAAATCTATTCAAAATTTTAATTTAGCCTCATGAATATTAGCCCACAATTTTACTGTATTTAAATACTAATATTATTTATTAATCATTTAAAAAATAAAAAAATTTAATATGACTAAATAGACTCACTCCATGTCCTGAATACTATTCAGGAACTAATTAAAAAAAAAGATAATGATATATTCAGGAACTAATTAAAAAAAAAGATAATGATAAATAATGAAAATTTAAAACTTAAGAGTAAATTGAGTAAATATTTTTCGTTAACTCATTACACTTACGACTCTATAATTAAAAATTGGATAGAAAATAAATAAAAAAAATAATTATTTTAATATAAATATTTTTTTTATCAAGAATCCTAATTCTGTCGTTACTTTTTTTTTATCCAAGATTCTCACTCTGCTATTGTGAGAGCCCTGTATAATGTATAGTTAGGAAGTCCACAAACCGTACCTTGTTAGCATTGCATTTCTTCCTTGGTGATTGTAAAACCCTTGTTAAAATGATGGTCCCAATGTTTTTTTTTTTAAAAAAAAACTATTAAGATGGGTACGTTAAAGACACCCCTCTTTTTCTTTTTTCAATAAAAAGATGTCATTTTCCTTGCTTACGTCGAGCCTCTGTGCTTGCTTGTCTTTCCGAATTACGCAGTAGACCTGTGTGTTTGTCATTGGATCATACAAACTAGTTACACATCCTTGTACGTATCCCAGCCTGCCAATTCCAAGGCCCAAATCCAAATCAAGGTTGGAACAGATGTTTGCCATCAGAACACAAGTCTATATGTAACTTACATTTATTTATTTATTTTGTGCTTCATTAAACAGGGCAAAAACGTTTTTTTTTATTTTTTTTTTTAAAAGTAAATGAAATCATAGATTGACTGATGTGCAAAAAAAAAAAAGTGAAGACCCAAATTTTACACGATTCAATCTGACAACAAAGCAAGCCTACTAAAGAAGTTGAGAGCAATGTTTTAAAATCCGGACTGGACAGTGAACCGAAAATATCAATGGGTCACGGGTCTTATGGTTCAACCGATCAAACCGGTGGTTGGACCGGTGACCAAATAATTAAATAAAAAATTTTATATATATATATATATATATAAATAAAAGAAACAAGCTAACAAAAATACAACACTAGATTCTTAAAATGCATTAGGATTTAGGCATAATCACTTGAAAAAAATAAAACTTCTATTTGCAATAAACAACTCTTAGACAATAAAAAATAGATTCATCTTCATCCATTCAGCAATCCTTCATTTTGTAATAAACAGCTCAGATAATAAAAAGCAAGCTCATCCGTTAGCATTCATTCTACTCCATTTAGAACCATGAAGATTACATTAAATTGGGTAGAGATATAAATGAGGGAGAAAGAAAATCTCACCGGGACTGAGAGAGGGAGAGAGAGAGAGAGAGAGAACAATTGATGAAGAAGATGAAGAATCAAGAAAGGGTTCGAGCTCGACGCCATCTGATTGTCTTCAACAATTGGATGCCTATACTAGAGTTAACCAAGAACACGAAGTCACAAACCAAAATGAAGAAAGTGAAGTGAAGATGAAGAATAAAGAAGCATATGAAGTTTAAGATGGCTAAAGTTGAATGGTGAAGACAACGAAGGGTGAACATAGAACCCAAATGGTTGAGAAGGCGAGTCCAAAATGGCTGAACGGTGAAGACAGAACCCAGATGGCTGAGTGGCTTGAGGGAGATGACACATGGAATAAAGCCCAGATGGCTCAGATTTGAGAAGGTGGCGAGAATGAGTGCGTGCATCGTGCGAGACAGAGAGAAGTGAGACTGAAAAGAAGAAGAATGGGTCCTTATAGGTGTTGGTCTGCTAGATAGAGTGAGGAGAAGGGTTTTTTATTTTTAAAAATACCAATTTTAACTTTTTTTTGGGACCCGCTATTGAGTTGACTTAATGGTACCAGATTTAGCCTCAACTTCGTTAAGGTGGTAGAGGTTGCGGGATCGAGTCTGGGAAGGTTCCAAAAGACCTCGGAGAGGCGGGGTGAGAAATAGCCACAGTACCACCTGTGGTAAAGCTGGATCTAGGCCTGTGAGGGTACAGGTCCCAGCACCGAGTCGAGGCCCAAGGGGTGGCTCCGTGCTGTTACATATATTTTGTATTATGCAATGTATCTTGTGTCAACCTAGAACATGTCTTATTTGTGGAGCATGTAAACTCTAATCTTTTTTATTAAATGCATTTATATGACCAAGAGGATTATGTCTGTCCCTCTTGATCCATGACTTGATTTGAATATCATGCCATAAAGATCCTGTCTGTCCCTCATAATTCTAATTTCTTTTTGAAATATTTTAGGACCTGTGATATATTGTCTTGGATGTATCATGATAGAAATTTTTCTACCATGATAAGGGTATGATAAGGGTTCAATGAAAAAAAAATGATTTATTGAATTCATAATTTGCGAAAAATCAATTTGTAAATTTGAGGGTGTTACAACGATCACTTCTCAAATGGAAAGGGAGGAGTGTCAAGAGAGTTTTGTGAGTTAGGGAAAAAAAAGGAAGGGGTAACTCTTGTCTGTGAAATTCATAATCGAGAATATTTTTGTCCAAATAAAAAATCATTCCCATAGAATGGATCATATTCCTATGGTCTACTGATGGAATGGGGATTACCTCATATGAGGTAATGGACCATTCCATTGAAAAAAAAAAAAGACTCATTAACTTAATTGGTGTAAGGTAGTGACATTTTCAATGGAATGGGGATTACCTCAGACCATTCCATTGAAAATGTCACTACCTTACACCAATTAAGTTAATGAGTCTTTTTTCTCTCATCCTCATTCTATCACCCCTCATTCCCTTGTACTAAACATGGCCTTAGAAGGAAAGATAATTTAGCTAGATACTTAATTACTCTATTATAGTTCTTATAAATATGATTAAACTCAGTTTGACCCTCTAGAGAAGAAGAATCTAGCTTACTCGACAATGTCCTTAAATGGATAGTTGGTATCACAACCATGAACAATCAGGTTGATCACTTTAAGATAGTCTAAAAAAATTACCACCTTGAAAAAGTTCCTTTCCTTGCACAGCTTAAGCCCCTGTATAATACCAATCATTTCCACCATCATTGAGAGAATAGAGATCAATCTAGAGCTAAAGTCATAGACCCAATTGTTTTGCCCATCTTGCATAAAGCTTTCACAACAGCTGCTACCGTCGCTTTTGACAGAACCATCGACATGTAACTTGACGAAGTCCTCCCCACTATTATTAACACGTACCTCTGATTTTTTTAAAGTATTACATAACAGGTAATTGATCATAAGGTCTCTATCCATACGGGCTCTAAAGAGACTAGAAAAACCATAATCGGCATTTCTTTGACCTTGGGTACGAAAAGCAATATTGCAACGGCAGGCCAATATATCCCAACAGCGGGCCAAAAAGAGTTGGCCAAAAAATTTTCTTCATGTGCTTGTTCTCTATTTCATTCCAGGTTCCACTTAACCCATTTCACTCCTTGCAGTGAGCAGAAAGTCTCCAACTGATCAAATCTAATCACCAACCTCCATCTATGTATGGCATTGTCATAGTCGCGCAAAAGATGCATTGAATCCTCTTTGGCACTGCAGCTCATCGGACAGCCATCCTTGCTTTGAATTCCTTGTCTGCATCTCAGGTCCAAAATGTGGGCTCTCCCATGTATTAACAACCATGGAGGATTTGATCTACTATCATAATATTAAAACACGGTATCTGTTGATGGTTACGTAAAAGAGACTGTTCATTCTCTCAATTATTCGTGTTTCGTTGGCTCAATTGGTCAAAGTAATAGTAAAAAAGCTGATCAAATACAGAAAGGCAAAAAAAAAAAAAAAGGAAATATTCATGTCCAATGTTCATATATAAAATTAGTCAGGAAGACAAAAAATCGTACTACCTTCTTAGTTCTTGCCAATAATAACACTGCATTGCACTCTTGGTGATTGTAGAAACCTTGTTAAAATGCTGGTCCCAGATAAAAAACTACTAAGTCGGCTTCAATGAAATGGGATTTGGGTTGGTTAAAGATATAGTAATAGATGTCGTAAAGTCTGCCTCACCCCCCCTTTTTTTCATTTTTGCCCCTACGTGTATGTCGTTTTCCTTGCTTGCGTGGAGCCTCTATGCTTGCTTGTCTTCCCAAATTACGCAGTTGACCTAAGCTTAGAACAACGAAGAAGGCATCAAATATGACATTTCAAAAAGAGATTACCGTTTTTAGAGGTTACCTGTGTGCGTTGGATATACAAACTACACATCCTTTTAAGCATCTCGGCCTTCCAATTCCATGGCTAGAATTGGAAGATATGTTTGCCATCAGAGCACATTCAATATATAACTTATTATTTTTATGAAAAAATTTCAGTTAAGGATTACATAGAAACTTATTTTCAGGTGAATTTAAATAATTTTAATATTTTAGTTTGATTCAAGGGAGAAAAGTTAAAAAATTTTTGCATGACAAGTGAAATGATATTTTAATTTTTTCACCATTAAAATTTTTTTAATTTTTTTTAAACTAAACTGAAATTTTTAAAATTTTTTTAGGTCTATTTAAAATTAAATCTATATTATATTGTGATTCTTACTTGAAATTTTCCCTATTTTTATTTATAGTTCACGGACGTGCTTCATTAAACAGGGCAAAACATTAAAAATAAAAAAAAAGTAAAAATCATAGATATTCACTCGTGTTGGGGGAAAAAAAAAAAGAAAAGTGGGTGAAGACCCAAATTTTACATGATTCGATCTGACAATGAAGGAAGCCTTCTAAAGAAGTTGAGAGCTGGCGAAGGCGTCCTATCACGAAAGACGGGGTGCCTCAAATAGTAGAACCCAAAAGCCATTGCCACCATCTTGGACGGTACCAAGTACAGTATTAAAGCCACCACCAAACACATCCCTACAAATATCCCCGTCCCACGTGGATCTCGCCACGTCACCAACGCCTGCACTCTCTCACCCTGCGCCGCTATATCCCCCAATACCGTCTGCACACGTGCCCCCAACATCCTCAACTTATCGTACCTCACGCGTACCATCTCTCCTGATCTGCTGCTCGGCACCGTATCGAATTCCTCATCCAGCTCCTCCCGATCCGCCACCTCCGCCAGTGACATTTTCTGATCAAAGTGCGGAAGTGGGTCCCTCGATCGGAACCTGTAGTTCCATGCGCCTATTACGAATACGTAAAATGCCAGCGTCGGAATTATCAGATCTGGAAACCACACCAGCATCACCAGCAATGCGTGTACGAGAATGGTGGCCGTTGGATTCTTCCACCCACGTGTATCTTCTATCCACCGTAGGATGTCGATGAACCCTGCTACCACGTTGATGATCCTGTACCAATTGGCACGCACCTTCCGCATGCTGAAGTTGTGAGAGTCTGCGTCCAGCATGTAAAGCACTACTTCTCTTCTCAACGGCGGCTCTGATCTCGACAAGTGTCCCGCCACGATCTTCACCGCCGTGTTTCTCAACATTTCTTGTTGCGCCAATCCTAAGGGCTTGATGTGGTGCATTAATGGCAGCATTGGCTGGGAGTATACTTGAAGGAAATCCAACGTCTGAGTGGTTCGAACGAACCGGATGGCAATCTCTATTTCACCCATCTTCTTCGTTCCTGCGTTGGTCAACACGAGTAACGGGTACGTGTTTCTGTACACCCGACCCGTTTGCAACGTGGATATGCGGATTCGCACCTTTCCAACGCGAAAATCAGGCCTCGCAGCTTCTTCACCACAATCTGCTTCGTATGCTCCAAAGCTATCAAAGACTCCGATGGTCAAAACCGTGCAGGGATCGAACACCTTCCACGTGTACTGCTCGTTCCACTTGGGATCCAAGCTATCGGATACGGTCCGCGTACGTACCCACTTGTTGCCATATTTGGCTACACAATACGCATCGGTGGAGCTTTTGCCGTTCACAGTTTTCATGGGCACCAGGTTCTTGCAACTGATGATTCCTAGTTCAACTGTGCCGACTGGTGGCTTCCAAAGTTGCCTAGCCGTGGGACGGAAATCACTGCACACGTGAGCGGACTCATCCATCACGTGATATCCTCCATCGAAGCATAAACGCAGGTGGATCCTGCCCTTGTAAACTCTCTTGTCGTTGCTGACATCCTCAAAAGTGAACCAACGGGATGCTACGTTACGGTCATCTACCCTTCTCTCAATGGTAGTAAGAGGTATTCTCAGGACACCCATTGTTATCGGCCCCTTAGGTTGCCGATTTTCAAGAGCGAAAATGAGCTGGTCACTCAAAGGCTCTGCAGCGACGAAGATTAAATCGTCGTCCCATGAAGCAATGCCGTTACGAGTAACGGAGACTTTTGACTTCAGCACTTGAAATCCGAGTTGAGCTCTGACCTGGAAGAAAGCCTCTTTCAACGCTGTTAATGACAGAATGTCCTGAGCTTCAAGCACCGTGGCCCTTAGGTACCACAACTTCGGGGACTGGTAGATCTTGGCGCGAGAGTGGACATTTCCTGCTGTGTCTGTTTTCCACGCGTCAGGGAATGCCTCGTCAGCTTGAGTGCCAACCCAGGTGGCAAGCATGAGATCCCCGTAGCGGGCCCCGCCACCTTCCAATCTGTACCACTGTGGGGCCAGGGGGCTGTCCGGCGGGTCCCTGAGAGGGATCTCCGACACCTCAAAGCAAAGCCCGCCCAGAAAACTGCGAGAGTCCTCTTCTAATGTGGTGGGGCCTGAAGCGGGAGGGTCCCACACGGAGACTTCAAGGAGAGAAGCAGATTCGGGGGAGTCGCGGCCGAATGCAAACGTTTGGTCCCATTCGAATAATGTGGTTTTGCGCGCGGGCTTGGACGTGACGTGATGGCCGGAAACTGCAATCTTCACGAAGGGGTTACAGTTTGGGGGCAAGTATCGTGCTTTCACGACGCGAACGAAGAGGTAGTGCATCTTCTCAACCAGATCAAACGAGCATCGTTCCATGGACATGGTATCCGACACGTCTGACATGAAGCTCGCTGTGGATGCTGCCCTTCGAATTGGTTGTGGTCCTTGTGGAGCGTTGGGCCCACTGAACCTTACTTCAGGCATCGTTCTAGATGTTTCCAGTGATGAAGCTTTCACCTGATCTGCACCTTCTTCTGTCGGCTGTTGCGGCGGCTCAGGCTCAACCGGCTTTTCAGCAACAGGGGCTGCATTTTCAGGTGTTGGAGCTTCCGCAGGTGCTGGCTCTTCCGTGGCCTTGTCGTTTTCCGGTTGAGATCCATTAGGTGGAGCCGCCGCCACCTCCGCCTCAGATTCTTCGACCTTATGTGGTTCCGCTGCTGCAGCTTCGGATGTTGGCTTTGCCTCCGCTACCTCCGGTGCTGGTTTTGCATTGGACTTCACTTCCTCTGGAGCTGGTGCTGCCTCGGACTTCGCTTCCTCTGGCGGTGCTGGTGTTGGTGCCGGCGGAGACGGCTGTGGAATTTCCTCGTCGACGTAATAGATTTTCAACCCAATTTCACCTCGAACCCAGCTGAAAAGGCTCTTCTTCTCCAACTGGTAGTAAATCAAGGCTTCCTCGCCTTTACGCACAAACTGGGAAGAGCTTAGTCGAACTCGACCCAGGAAATTGTTGCGTCGGGTGGGACCGCAATTCTTGTCATGGAGAACATCGAGTTCAAGCATGTCACCAAGAATGTCAGAAGGCTTACCGACATTAAACGACAGCGTTTCGTTCCAGGTCGGGTTCAAGTCACGAGCCACCGTCGGGATTCGTTTCCGCTGGCCGTAGAAGTCCACCAACACATATGGACTGGAAGTGCCGTGCCCATCTTTCGGGAGAAGATCTCGAGCGTCCACAACCTCCACTATAAGTTTCCGAACCGTGCCCATGATCAGGGTTTATTCCCGTTCTTAATTTCTTATCCCTCAAAAGTTTAATTTGCAGGATGCAGCGGTGTGGCTTATAGAGCTCCAACTCATGGCCCAGCCAAGCGAGTGTGATTATGAAGGGGGGGAAAAAGAAGGGTGGATTGATATCATGAGTACTGCTTATATATAATTATTTAAGAGAAAGATGGAAAGGAGGTGAGTAATTATTCATGCTCGGTTCTGTTCACATGTTTTTTGTAAAAAGAAAAATTATGTGATGCAGGTGGTGGAATGTGAGTCGCATATGGTTGGAAAAAGATGGAAAGCTAGAGGGATGGGGACTAAGAAATCTGTGAAACGGGGCTTAACTTGGTCTTCAAGCACCTTTAGACCTTTGAGTTTTGTGGGTCTGTCCTGTTATATATAATTTTTCCCTTTTGATGCTCTGCTCGGCTGTAATTGTCAGAATAATGGTTACTTTTGTGTTTTTACTTGTTATTGGATTTTCCTGGCAGGGAAGATTCTGTGTCAAATTTGGCCTTTGCTTTTTGGCCGTCCCTTGACTTAAAGGGCCTATGCTTGAGAGGAATGGTGGCGGAAATGGGGATGTGAAGGCTTTTGAGTCACCGACCTTGCGAGATTTGTCACCGAATACAGCTTTATTATATTAAATGGAAAGTTTGACAAAGATGTGACGCTTACTGCTTTTCACACATTTCCATGAAACCTTACTGATGTAATCTATTCTCTTTCTCTTAAGGTGCTATCTGATTGAGCTATCGACACGAAATCATTTGGTAACAGATACGAATTAGAGCAGGAGATACTAATAATGGAGAGCATATATAGGAGATCCCCTTGATTGTCAAGTAACTCTATAGAAACTAAGATGGTGGTTTTATGTCTTTGATGGTATATAATTTAAAAAACCCTGGAGATGCCCTTTTTCTCAGGGATAGACATGTACGGATACATGGAAGAGAAAAGAGGAAAGAAAAGAGTATGGTGAGAAGACAGAGAGCATAAATGGAACATATATTCTGAGTTTGGAAGCAAATTAAAACCAAAATTTTGATGCATGCAAAGCCACATATGCATAATCAATATCAATGGCTACATATATATATATATATATATATTCAGTGACAGATTGAGAATGGCAAGGTTTCAAATGAAGTTGTACAGAGTAGTAATGATTTTGCGAGAGGTCTTTTAATTAATCGGGAATGATAATTCAAAAGAAGGCATTGTCGACGGCATCCCTTGATGATGATTAAAGTGCAAATATAAAGTCCAAAGCAAAAACATGGAACCCACATTTGATTTCCCCTCGCAATCCTGCATTAATCTTGGATCAACCAATGTCGGCTACACCTCACCATATACATACACTATTTTATTTACTATATTGTACCAAAAGACTATGGCCATGCTGGAGGGCACTTCCAGGCGACTCAAATCAAATCTTGAAGCCAATTTCATATACTAATAAACTCGAATTCATTTACCAGAGGGGTTGTCAGTGTTTATTCTTATCACTTCGTCTATTTTTTTTGCTTAGTTTTTTTGGCTGAGCCTTATACCGAAAACCAAATTATGATCGAAAAGCTATGCGAGAAACAGTAACCTTGCAATTTTTAAAATTAAAATATCTTATGATTAGATTAACTTGATTAACTTTGTAGTCAAACAAATTCATTGAAAGAACAACACTGAACCAGGCAAGGATGTCTAAATTAAGGTCGGAACCGTTGATATATATCGCGTATTCATACATGTTTGATGACGGACACCCCCCCCCCGCGTTGTATGAGGCAGAATTTTAAATCTTACGAAAAGCCTCACATCATATAAGGAAGTGTAAATAGAAAAAGATCTCCCTTTGTTAAGACGTGAGAGTCGAAATTGAATGGTCTGGTTGAACAGCCACTGAACTGAAAATGGTCCAACCTCGCAGATGCTGTTCTGAAACGAAGAGTTCGAACTCTTTGTTGATTAACTTACCAGCTTAGAGAGAAGTTATGAAGCAAAAAGCTTTATACACATGGAGCCATATATTCTCAAAGGAAGTTAACATCGAAGAGTAAAGGCCGAAACTGCACACACACACACACACACACTCTAGTACATACCTTATTTTGCGGTTTTGAAAGTAAAAAAACAAAAAAATCTCTTCTAGAAAACCCAGCAGCTGGTCAACAAGACATACCTATGTCAAGTTAAAACAACTAAGAATCAGAGTATAAACTTAAGTATAAAAGTATCTTCTTTTTAGATTAATCTATCGTGTCCTAATTAATTATAAATTTTATTGCTAAATTATAAGTGTAATTAAAATATTTTCCTATAATTCTCCTTTAGACTTTGGTTTGAAGGGAGGAGATGAAGAGGAAGGGAGGTAAGGGGAGAGGAAGGGAGGGAGGGGTAGAAGGAGGAAAGAGGGAAAGGGAGGGAAATTTTAAAAACAAGGATCCCCTTGTTTGGTGAGGTGCCCCTTTCCTCCTCTTTCGGTCAATCAAACAAGTCTTTAGGGTGGGTTCAAGGTTCTTCTCTACATATTTGATTCGGTTACATTGAATTCAATTAACATTACATTCATATGGGAAATGAAGAGTCACCGATATATATGATGTATAATCCTGAATCATAAATTTTGCCAGAAAATAAAACACAAGCCTGCAGAAAGTGACAAGTTTAAAGAGGGGAAACGGGTATGACTACTGGGACAACACATATGCAACTGTGTCCTACTGTTTGGACACATGCACACGTACACATGCAACTAGGAAATATTTTCCGTTAAAGACAATAATTATGAATGGTATTTTCTTCAATTGATAAAATGATATTGATGGTCCACATCTTCTGATTAATGCACGCTGACGACGTTAATATATATAAATGGTATATAGTCGTAATGAATTATATTGGGCCAATATATATATATAAAAAATTCTTAAATAAATTTCTTCTTCAAAAAATACTTTAATTAAAACTCAAAATTAATTTATCCAATAATTAAAACTCTACGCCGCTCATCTGCTCATCTTAGTACACGCACATTATAACAAATATTATAGGATTAAAAGGCAAAAACATCCAATAACTTTTTCTTCAAAAACATCCAGTATCCTTAAAGTATATGAATACCAATGAATTTGTTTTTAATGAAAAGCAAACATAACGTGCAAAAGTATCATTAAATCAAAAATAGTGTACGGGTACTTATTAACTGTTCTAAGAGAGGTACTAGGACGGGTTTTGACTATATGACATCTCTTATAAAAAGCAATGAGTACTCATGTACCATTATTGATTTAAGAAATTATAAACTCACAAGAAAGTTTTATAAATATTTTTGCATGCACCTTATGTTTGCTTCCTCTTTTTTTAACTGTCAATGTTAACAGTTATCAATTAAATTTGATGGGATGTGAATTGTTGCACTTGATAAAATAAGTTTATAAGTAATTGGTTGTTCCTGGGAAAAAGTTCTAGTTATTTTTGCCCCTTTAATCCAATATTATACACACGCGTCCACAAGTGAAAAAGGTCGCAAACTGAAAGAAGACTGCATTACCAAAAACAAATTTAAAACAGTAAATGGGAGGGTTCCTGTATTTACAGATGATGTTGACCCAGTTTTGATTCACTTCACGCCATAACTCAGCTAGCTCTGTGATAAACTTCTTTAATTCTTTTCACGTGGGTGGCTTTTGCCACAAGCCACCCCATGTAAGGAACTTTTTTTTTTTTTTTTTTGGGGTCTATTTTACTTTGCTTAGTTCACAATTCATGTAATAAAATAAGAAAATTAAAGGGAGCGCATAAAATTCAGTAAAACAAATATTAATATATGCATATACAGCAGCAAGCATGCACCTCGCTCGTGTAAGTGTGCCATAAAATAATGATAAAGGATGTAATAGTGAATTTAAAAATCAAGGAATCGGAATCAAACAACGTTGCTTTGCAAGCATGCCGTGAAATATGTATGCAGTATCAGATTCCGTATGTATTGTATATCTGTATACCCCTTGTGCGGTGATTATTAATTTAATTATATTGAACGTACGTACGTCTTCTTCTCTAAGTTCCCACATACACGAGAACTCTGTGGGAGCTGTTATACATGTATTTTGTGTGTCTGAGTTTGTGACGCAGAAAAGTGATAAGATAGACAAGTAAGTTTACTTACCATTTTCAAGTTTTGGGCTACGAGAAAATTAAAGCAGTACTTTTAAGCGACTGGGGAGAGACGACGCCGCTTCCTAACTTCTCTGTTGGCAGCAAGGAGATGATACTCTACTTATTTGCCAAAACAAATGAACTCTATGGAATATTATATGCATGTCATTTATCTCCAGTGAATTTCATTAGTGCACCAGAGAAACCAACATGTTTCCAAGCTAGGGTTTCATAGTATATGAACAAGAAACTAGCAGTCAAGTATATATATATATATATATATATTTAGTTCCAGACTCGCTCCAGAGAGTGGAAATATCCACACGTTATATAACCTTGTTGTCCTCCCAGTTTTCATGAACAAAATAATGAACAATAGAAAATTTAAAAGCAGTGCAGGAAATTAAATAATAGAAGATATAGAATATAAGACTATGAACACCCCCCCAACCATTAAGTCTCCTGTCCATTGGCTTCAGCCGCCCTTGAACAAGAGGTATTATATAACAGTATTGAACAAGAAGTTCACTGTAAAGGGGGGAAAATGATCAGAATCTAAACATCAGTACTTAATTAATCAATTATTAAAAAAAGATAAATACTTGGAAAAATAAAAAGGACCAGAAATTGGCAAACGGTTGCTATCTTTAAAGATACTTCAATAGGAATCTGGCTGTGTGCAGCATTATTTGGTATGTATGTACAAAAAAAGATAGTGGTGTGGTTTCTGTAAATTGAGATATATATATATATATATATGGTTGGCTGGCTACCTGCTGCTCTTTGAACCATAAAAGTTGCATAAATATAGGTTTGTACACTGTTTGTTGCTGTTTGAGCTTCTAAAGCTGCAAATATAGCTAGCCAATATGCATATTACAATAATTTAAAAATCTTTCATCTTTCGTTTCATCAAAACTTTTGCCACCATAACCCCAACTTATGAATCAAATCAATGTAAAGGAAAACCAGACTGACATAATGAGCCAAAAAGAAACACAGCGATTTATATATACGAGGATCTCTTAATAACCAGACGATATATATGAGCAGAAAAACAAATTAAATCAGGATTACCGTTTGGCTTGTTGGCGGTGATGAGCGGATGGATCAAAGACTTGTACGAGGAAAGGTAGGTGCGAGGAATGAAGCCTGGTCCGAGATCCAGCCATCCGCATGATCCCCCAACGCATCAAAGTAGAATAAGAACACAGTTTATAGAGTAATTA